ATAAACTAAATTCTCACATCATATAGTCGGTGTGACTAAGCATCTCAATTTATGCACGGTGGGGAAGGTCCTGTTAAAGATGGAAAAGTTCAAGGCAACTCACTCTACATCGGGTACCTCCGCTAGTGTTATATAAAAACCCTATACTCTGATCGAAATCTATCATCCTCACACAGTAGCCATGCAGGCGGACATTTGAAGAAATCGTAAGGGTAGCTTTTTCGAAATTCAAATAGCCTCATAAATACTGACCATATGGTAAGCTATGAGGTAGCCCATAAATGGACTATATGGTAATTTATGAGGTATAGATATTCGGAATCTGCACTGTTTTGCCTACATTTTTGAAGAAAAAAAATATTGTCTCAGAGTTAAGCGCTGAGTTAACTCAAAAAAACGAGATGTTCGCCCGTTCTATGGAAAAATGCCCACTGTGTGTCGGGTACTATATTTTATTTTCATATGTAGAGATGTACAAGCATGTTATGTGTCTGCAGTAGTACTTCTGGACTGTTCGTAATTTGTTCAGAGCTTAAATTACGTTAAGAAAAACGTGGATGAAAAAAAATTTGTTAACCTCAATCAGTATGTTTTTCTTTTTCACATTTGTTGTGTTGTTGGTAGACGGAATTCATCGTTTGCCGTGTCGAGAGAAGTCCAGACTGTTTGGTGTATAGATTACCATTAATTTCAAAATAAAATGAGCTCAGATGCTTTTTCAATAACTTTTGTGTGATTTGAGATCATCGTCATTTTGTAGTGAATATGGGACTATGCATCTAATAAAAAATAATTTCGAAAACCTTGATCTACATGGTTTTTATTCGTCATATTCACACAGAAAAACATGAGAAGCACGGATAGACGTCCATTATTTTTATTGTATTCGTCGAATAGACATTTTAGGGTACATGTAGGGATGCAACGGTAACGGTTGACAACCGGTCAACCGTTACCGGTCTAACCGGTTTAACGGTTACCGGTTCTGACCGGTTACCGTTACCGGTCCAACCGGTTCTGACCGATTACCGTTATGGATCTAACCGGTTAACTAACTGAATAGAGTGATAACGGGAATAAGAAAACAAAGTAGAAAAGAGAAAAGAAAAGAAAATCGCTATTTGTGTCGCAGCTCTAATAGTCCATCTATTTTCTCTCTTGCTCGTGCTAGATATAATCTATTTTTAAACAAGCATTCACATGTGAGTTCTTAAGCTAGTTTGAGTTACACTGATTGTTCCATGTTAAAAAGTGTTTTTCTTCAACGTTATATTGATTAACAGAGAACTGTGATTAAAGAAACATTTATTTTGTGTTTTGAATTATGTAGCAAATATTTCATTTGTTTTTCAAGTTTATTGCTACCGGTAACGGTAACCGGTAAGAACTGGTTGGACCGGTAACGGTAACAGGTAAGGTGCGGTTACCGTTACCGTTGCATCCCTAGGTACATGATATATTAAATGACTACTTTTTCAAAAGAGAGAACCAGATAAGAACAAAAATTAAAGATGTTACGAACGAGCTGTTATTTTGTATTTTTAGTACATATTTGTATTATTTACCTATTATTAAGACAGACTTTTTGAGTCAAACGAGAATTTTGCTTATAAACCATAATAAGGTCAAAGGATAGGAACGGATACAGTATTTTCCAGCGCTTAATATTCTTTTATGAAAGTCACTTGATTATAGATTATTCGACATGTTGAACAAAATGGCTTAGTCAGTTTTTCAATGTCCTGACTTTCGATTTTTAATGTGGTGTAACGTTCATAAATAAAAACATCTTCAGCTAAAACTGGTTGTCGGATTCGTAGTTGTGTAATAGGACATTTTGTTATTAATTGTGAAACTCTGTCGTAGTTATTATTAATCGTCGAAACAAAGAAAATCTCTTACTAAAAGATGTAATAGTTGAAGAAATCACAAAATATGCAGGAAGATTAAAGAAATACGCAAACGCGCTCTTTCACACACATACAGTCAACGAAGAACATAAAGATACGATAAAAAATTGCAGTTGAACACTTCTTCCTCTACTATGCATGTATCAGGTAACTTCACAAACCCGTTAACGGGGTAAAAACGCTAGACATAACGACCATTAACGCTAACGGGTTCCTAACATTAACTGATATATGCCTATCTTCTACGGTTTTGGCAAAAAAAGTAAAGATGCAAAATCATTTTTCGTCCTGCATTTTAAACTTTAGACGTCCTGTCCTCTCCTGCAGGATGGCAAGACGATGCAGGACACGCCGAACAAAAGCTTCTTGTGCTGTCCTACAGGATAGGGTGGGACGGTCCTGTCGTGTGGGATCTCTGATGTGAACAGTCGAGTAAAAAATTCGAACTCAGAAAATGGTCTTGGATCGCCTAAAGGCACATTAGTCGATGAACTTCGTCTCGTCTTTCGAATAAAACGTTGTGCTAGTCTGTCGGACTGAAACTGACGGAAAAAAATGGAAAATGCTAAAAGCAGAAGTTTTTGACGATTTTCCGAGTGGCATTTTTTCAAAATTCTGTAATGCCACTAATCGACGTCTTTCTGCATTTTTAGTCGTTATCAACGGGAAACTGAGAATTGAGTATATCGTCGAAAATGTAAATCATATATTTCCAATGACTGATATTGAGTACAAACGATATTTTCTCATATTTTACGAGTTTACGTGAAATTTTTCATTCCAAAACATTGACCCACTTATCGAATTTAAGGTCAATGTAGGCTATTTACTGTTGCAAAATGGCGAGAAACGCATTGATGGCCCTTTCAATTTTTCTTAAGAATATCAGTACACCAGTTATCCACCTTCAAAGAAGATTTTCTTCTGCAATATACTATAGATGGCCAACGTTTCTGATGGCATTGCTAATGTACTACACAAATTATTTACTGCCAACATTTAAGTTAACTCAATCGCAGCATTACAGAAGAAAAATGGACAGATTTATAGATACAAAAATATTGTCGAAGGTATATTTGCTAACACGAAAGTGTCTAAGGTGACGGCTTGAAATTTCGAAAAAAATTTTATCAGCCTTTAATGATCAGCCAAAAGTAGTAGAAGAATTAATAATGAATACAACACAGTTTACACTTGGATATGCAATTAAGCGGGTGAATCCCAAAAATCATGGAGTAGACTTAGACCAGTGAACCAGTCAAACATTAGAATTTTTCAACAAAAAAAAACGCTTATCTGAACCAACTGTTAAGACAGCATCCAGGAAAGCATCGAAAACCGGCTCACACGGGCGTTCACCATTAGAACTCAGATCGTAGCTACGTCAAAAACTGAGGTTAAGAAAATTTTTTACAGTTCCAGAGTACAATCTTCCCCTGAGTTCTAGCATTTTCAGAAACAAATTTTGAAAAAACCGTCAAAAAGTGACATCTTCCACGTTTTTCGATTCCGTCATTTTACGAACAGACCTCGGAAAAAGTATTTGCGTAATACAAAAACAGCTAGACTTGAAACGCTGTGCCTTATTTGCCTTTATGAGCATAGTTAGATGAAGTTTTACAGTTCCGATCAAAAAGTCCTTTATCTCTAGAAAACCTTTCAGAAATCCTGCTTTCTGAAAAAGATCTAGATCAACAGAGAACCAAACTTTGAACAGACATTTCTGCTTTCAGCTCACAGATGCTTCTCGAAAGTCCTATTTTGTTCGCCTTCGTTTGAGATTTCGTTAAGTCAGAAATCCTTTTTTGATGGGCACCATCGAATGATCTTAAAATTTTGTGAAAAAGAAAAGCTTATTCACTAATCCTTGATTCAAATCTTTGAAAAATTACTTCATCAAAATGAACTCTGTTAATCGACGTCTTTTCACTGTAAATCGTACCAATTTCAAACGATGTCAGTTCCTTTGACCACACTGCTACGTCAGCCAGTGGTGCCGCATAACTAGGAGACGTCGATTCTATCTCTAACGACAGTGAAGGAAACGCTTTTATACCTCGACTAATCAATTCGTCGCTGAACTTTTGGTTACCATTTAGATAAAACTTTAATGCTGACATATTCATCGAGTAGACAATTCCTACATGATGCCATTCCCCATTTACAAATTGCTTGTGTAACGTTCTCGTAGATTTCATACCAGTACAATAGAACTGTAAAAGAGATTGATCACGAAGCCTTAACCATAAACGTAAAGCTTCCTCTTGTTTGTTATCCTCAAAAGTAAAATACATACGCAGCCCACCTCGTCCAAAGAACCAAAATGATAGTGAAAATGTATCGACGCTACTACTATCGTTAAAATGAAAACGTTTAACAAGTGTGCCAGAGGCATAGCCAAACTTCATACTGTTGCCAAACGTGTCATTTGGTATGATTAGTGGATAAGTTGTGCGCTCATTCGAAGAAGAATAAACGGTAGTCTGTTGTGCAATGCCTTCAACTGAGTTGTGTAGATAGTCTGTATTCGAAAAATTACACCAGATCAACAGACCTTGTCGGAAGTAATTAGAAGTCGAAAGATACTTTCGTAGAAACACTTTGTTTACTATCAAATAACGGAAGTGTGTGCAAACCATCAATAGTTTTAACAAATCTTTAAATGATGTAACGTATAAAAAGATGTATTCCCAAATTTCGGATGGCAATTCTACGGTTTCATTGTTAGTAGCAAGTGTCATTTGGGATGCGACGCTACAAGACTTCCAAGTCGAACGATAAAATTTCGAAGGTCACATAAAAATAGTAACTTTAACTGAAAAATGAATATTATATCAATCCTTCCGGGTGATTGAGTTCTTTTTCCACGCTTTTTCTGCAGTATAAGGGTGTTATTGCACAATGGAAAGAAATCTTTTCGATTCTGTATAACGCATTATATGACTTACTATTTCTATCATTCATATCGGTGACAAATAAAAAAAAACGTGACAGTTCTTCCATCCCAATATGGTATGCTAGGGAACTGGTTGTTGAAGGATGAATTTTTTGCGTTTTTGGCACATGAACTGATTGAATCCATAAAGGACATATCAACATTACATAAAAAAGTTCTGCAAAAAAAAACAAAGGAGGTGACTTGAAACATTGAATTTCGCCTCAAATGCAAGATCTCGACGAGTTCTATATGTTTCAGTCTAAAAACGATAGTGTAAGGCTACTAGGGCTCGAGAAAAGGATCTGCTCTGGTTTTCCGGAAAACCTCGGTATCTCTGATAAGCACTACGCAAATTTTCTGACCACATGAGTCACTAGTCCGATCAGTTTTCTTCAAATGAGACGTCACCCAAGTCTCTGCGACTCTCCGTTCAAGAGTGAAATGGCTGCCTAAAAGTTATAGAGGAGAAAGGAGCTGCACTCCTGTCATAATTTTCTGATTGCCACGGTTAATTTGTAGTTCTCGTTTCTCAAAAAGAAAACGCGCCTTAGCTCCTTTCTTCTTCTTTTTTTCTAAAGTAAATAGGGCTTTCTGTCTGTGATTCTCGTTTTACTTATTTTTCTCATTTCCAAACAAGACTTATTTACCTTTCTCTCTCTCGCTTACCGAAAATCGTTAAATTCTTATTTTTGAGCAATATTTCACTTCTCCTTAATTTTCACTTTTTTCCAGTTATTGCCGTTGACTGGAACCGCACACTCAAGAATAATATTCGACAACAAAGTCCAAGCAGAGTTAGACAGCTCATACAAATCTCCTCATGATCCAAACCTAGGGTATTTGTAAACTACGCCATCAACCACCAACACCCTCAAACCGCCCGAGACCATTCTAGATCGATAGAGCGCGTCAGATAACCTACACCCACATCCACCAACACCCACTTGGACCTACAACTGAGATATCCTGAACGAAATACTTCCACCAACATCCACCAACACGGCTCCGATTTCGTTCGTTCATACATCATTCGATAGAGGACCTCGAGTAGGCAAAAAGGCTAAAAGGATTTGGGCGGAGGGCCCTTTAAGACCCGGTTTTCTGGAAAACCAGTTTTTCAGAAACTC